GCAGCTTTAGAATGTTGTGAGCTGACCATGCTGGGATATTCCGGTCAGAGCTCAGCAATGCTGGAACTAGAAGTATTTTGATAACTCTTAAAGATGGGCTAAATATATTTTACATAAATAGATGCATATAGATTTTGATCTTGCTTTGGTCCCATTCCTTTCTTCCCCCTATGGGAATATTTATCTTGTGCCATTGTATGTTGCAAGTGTTCAATTTTCTTTCCATTTTTGTAGGACTCACAACTGAGTTTGCCTTAACTCTCAGAGACTTTAGACTTGGGTTTTTCAGCAAAGCTGAAATTGTTAAAACTCTGGCAAAACTTAGAGATGAACTGAATGCATTTTACATAAAAGCATATGAATGAGTCTTTTGGGGGCCAGAGACAAAAAGGTTTTGCCAATATCTAAATGCCCCCCAAAGCCTCATACACTCATAGGTGGGGGCTTGGAGAGGTGACTGGAACGTGTGTGTGATACTGGATCATGGGTGTGTGACGCTAGGTCAATCCACTGAAGGTTTACGCTTGGAGGTGATGTTGGGAGGTGAAGCTTGTGGGAAGAGGTGAGTCCCATTGGGTGTTACCTGAAGGACGTGTGTTACTGCCCGGCTACCTGCTGCCATGCCGTGAGCTTTTCCTTCTTTTACTCAGCATCTGCTGTGCTACCGGCCTTGGAACCAGCTGACTACAGACTGGAACCTCTACAAGTGCTGTGTCTGAGCAACAAGAAGTAACTAAGACATGTGCGTATGAGTATTTTGGGGACTAGTGGTAGAATGTGGTGGCTCTTATCTGAATGCCCTCCCAAAGCCTCCTGTGCTCGTAGACGAGGCCTGCGGGAAAACATGAGCAGCTTTCCCCCACTCAGATCCTCCTGCTGTGCTGCCAACTTCGCCACTCCTGCCTGGAGCCAGCACATCGTCCAAGGACTGAAACTTCTAGAACATGAGATAAAATACAACTCTCCTCCTTTAACCTGTGTGTGTTGAGTATTTTGTCCTAGTGATGAGAAGGTAACTGACACCCAGTCTACACATACTGATCTAATAATGACACCAGGGTCAGAAAAGTAAGTAAGATGTGATTGCTACCCTCAGGGATTTACAATCTAGTAGGAGAAGCATGAGCAAAGTAATGACCGTAATGTAAAATGATAAATACTATATTAAAGGGACCCCTCAGTGTATGATGAGAATGTCAGAGGGCAAGTATATCAGCTTTAACGTTTTAGAATAAATTATTCTTTAGGTACTGTTACAAGGCTAGCATGAATTAATTTAGATGTACTAAGTAGAGATAATTACTTTAGGGGACAGTAGCAATGTATGTACAAAAGTACTGAAATTTAAAATCTCATAATCCATTTGTGAAAGTCTAGGTAGTTTAGAATGGTATATGAGGACAAGGGCTTAGTGGGTCCACTTCATTTAGGTTTTATATATTAAGTTAGGAATTTTAACTTTTCTGAAAGATACGGGCTATCAGGAAAGAATTTTATTCAAAAAGCAATATAAATTTTGGAAAGGTCACTCCAAAAACAACATGTATGATGGATTTAAATAGGATTACAAAAGAAGCGGTTGATGGAGGGGCGTACACATGTAAAATGGTGCTTCTTCGCATTATCAGATACTAACACCTATTCACTCTTTCAATTCTCTTTGCTCTCCTCCTGTTTGCTTTGTATTATGTATGCTCAGTCCCTCCTACTTTTTAAAATACTTTCACTACAATGTTTGTCTTTCTTGGTCAACCAAGTAGTGATTATAGTCTATTATAATACCTATTTTATTTCTGCAAGCACTGCAAACTACAATCTCACAAAAACACATTAAAAATCTGCATCAATGTACATAATTCTCACCTGAAGTAATTGACAATTAGACTAAGTCAAAAGTAATAATTAAAACAAAATATGGTTTATAGCTATATCAAAATTATAAATTATTATAAGTGACTTTGCAGTTTGGTTCACTAAGCTCGTATACTATAAAACTTCAAGCAAGAACTTTTTAAACTATCCTGTAAGTGACCCATCAGACAAATGTACATTCTTTACAATAAAACATTTTCTGAAATTCCTATATGATGTCCCTTGTCTTCTAATAAAATGTGTTCTTCCTGAAAAGAGTGCAAACTGTATTTATAGGAATATATATACAGTAAAATAAACATACACAATTTTAAAAACTATATAGTTAGCTGGGAAAGCAACTGTGTATCACATTGACAAGTAACTTTTAAAATCTAGAGACCTATAAAATCCATTTAAACTACTACATTCATGTAACAGTGAACAGTATATAATTTAATAGCTTGAAGTTTTTCAAAAGATATTTCAGAATCTTGAAGAATATTAAGAATAGGAACAGTTACCTATGTTGTAAATATTTGAAAATGTCATCTATATTAAGTGTCCTTCTACTAACTTAAATACTAAATCATATAATTTACTGTGCCAAAGTAAAAGACTGTAGGCAGTAAGACAAAAATCAAAAACAGAATGATTTATTGTATCACCAAGTTTGATTAAACACTATAAACCAAAAAAGTGTTATTTACTTTTTAAATCTGCATTTATAAAGATGAAAGATAAGTTAATTATAAAAAGTGACATCTCATAAGTAGAAATATTACAGGCAATCACATGAATATTTGTATTAAAATGGTGAAGATTTCAGTTGAGTACACTGTCACATTAACATGTGAAATTCTAAAAGCACCTGCCCCTTTTTTTACAATATGGCAACTTATATATCTTCAGGTCATATTTACAGAAAAATAGGAATTGTCAATATGAAAAACAGGTTTTGTAAATAAAAACTAAAATTTTACCACTAAAACGTATTGTACACATTTGAGGACTCAGTATTAAGATAAGAATAATTTATAGAGTACAGATGTTAATAGTTGGATGAATTTTTTTAAATGTGACTTTTTTATTTTAAAGAGAAAAATGAACAATATACAACAATGAAGACAAAAATAAAACAATACAAAAACAATAAAAACAATACAGTATTTAGAAACAAGGTGATAGGAGTTAATAATGGTTGTTGCAATACATTTTGTATCTTCACAGAAGTTGCTCAGATTACCAGACATAGAATACAAGGCTGATCAAACAAGTAAAGATAATAACAAGTAATTTTAAAAAATGAGAAATGATAAGAGCTTCACCAAACAAGATGGCAGGAAGTCAGCAATGGTTGTTATACGGCACACTGTTGTCTTCAAACTGTTGCTCCAGTTACCAGATATAAGTATGCAAAATAGGTCAAGAGGAAAAAGAATTTAAGCATTAACTGTTCCTTTCAATAAACCAATAGACATCTGCAATACACTCATCTCAGCTATCCTTGTATTTACATATATATTTTTTCTTTTTTTAATTTTAAAGAGAAAATATCAAAAGCAAAATAACAAAAAGAAAGGCATAAACAAAGAAATATAAAAACAATCAAAATGATACAAAATTTCAAAACAAGGTAACAGGAAACCAACAATGGTCATCACATTACATATTGTTATCTTCAAAGAACCAGATATAGGCATGCAAGAATGATCAAACAATTACACATTAACTGTTCCTTTCAATAAACCAATAGAAATTAGTAGTACAGTTATCTTAGCTATCTTATGTATATAAATATACTTATCCCTTCCTTCTTTCTTTTTTTCTCTTTTCCCTCGTTTCAGCTGTTCTTTCCTATTTGAGCAGTTTCTTTCCCTTTCACAGTATCTATTGTACTTTTCAGATTTTATTTACCCTTTCGGTCCTTATGCTAGGGAGGCAATACAATGTACACACATGTGAGTTTGATTTATTTCACTTATGAGTATAGTCTCTAGTTGCATCCATTTACCCATAAAAGCCTGGAGTTTATCTTTCTTTGTAGCTGAGTAATATTCCATTGTATAAAAGTACCACATTGTCTTTATCCATTCCTCAGTTAATGGACATGTGGGCTGTCTCCAAGATTTAGCTAGTCCAAATTGTGCTGCTATAAACATGGGTGCACATATATCGCTGTGGTATGATATTTTCAGTTCTGGAAAAATACCCAGGAGGGAAATAGCTCATTTGAATGGGACCTCTAATCCTAGTTTACTTAGGAATCTGCCCACACAGATTTCCACAGTGGTTGCACCAGTCTACACTCCCACCAACTGTGAAGGATTCCTTTTTCCTAACAGCCCCTCCAGCATTTGTAATTGGTTGATTTCTTGATGGTAGCCATTTTTTCTGGGGTGAGATGGAGTCTCAGTGTTGTTTTAATTGGCATTTCTTGAATAACTAATTATGTTGAACATTTTTTCATGTATTTGCCATTTGTATTTCTTTATCAGAGTAAATATGATTTTAAAATAGTGTTACAAGTTTATTTCTGCCAAGACATCTCCTAGCATATCAGTTTAATTTCAATAACCTAAGTGAAAAAATGCCAATAAAGAATTTACCAGTGAAAATAACGTTAACATTAACAGATTTGCACATATTTCTTTCTGATATTTCAGTAGCAAATTTTAGTAGTTCAAGAAATCTTGGAAAGATCTGTTTAATGAGTTCACACGTACTATGCTTTTGAAAATATTGCCAAGTATAGATTGTATATGAGTGATATGCTCAAAATCGTATTCGGTAAAGCATACATTTTCTTTTTCAAATGAGTTATATTTGCTTGACATAATCTTTTCTGATTTAACATACAAATTAATATTATAAAGTTGGAAACAACTTTACAATGTTCTCTTCTCTTTTCTCTCTTTCCGGGAAGAGGTGAGGAACACAGAATTTAGAAAAAACGATTACAATATTTTCACCATTAAGCAATACATATATTTAGAAGAAAATGCTTTGATTGCTTAGTATATGAAACATTTAGGGGCCAGAGATTTAGCTCAGCAGCACAAGCGCCTGCCTGGCAAGTGCAGGTTCGTGAGTTTGATTCCCAGTACCCAAAAGAAAGAAAGAAAGAAAAGAAAAGAAAAGAAAAGAAAAGAAAAGAAAAGAAAAGAAAAGAAAGAAAGAAAGGTTTAGGGTACCACTCATTCATTTCATTATACAAAATATGCTTTTATATTTTGGATAAGAAATGCTAAGTTATCCCTTAGACCAACATATTTAATAACCCATTTTTTGAGATTATTTTTAGTAATCTAAGAGAACACTTCCTCTCATATTGTTTCCAGTTAAATGATATTTCTATGCTATAGATAATAAGTTTTGTACTGAAAAACTGAAAAATATATGTATACATGACTGGCTGCAAGAATAATTATATTATGTCTATGGAACAAACAACAGTGCACGATTTAGAATACAAGAACTTCCACGTCAAGTGAGGTTGTAGAGGTAAACGCCAACCATTCTAAATGTTAACGTTAACATTACAGAAAATATCTACAGTCACACTATTTGGAAATTTCTCTTGCATACTTTAATTATTTTAATATTTTTATATAGTTAAAACAAGCTGAATTATTCTAGTCTCATAGGCTTTAAGCCCAATTCCAACTGACCAAATTGAGAGTGGTGGCAATTAAATTCCAGGGAAGGACCGCAGAAAAGCATACAAAAAAAGTAAGGGATCAAGAAACTTGTTAATACACACTTCCATACAGTTTGATGCCCACATAACACTCCTAGAGAAGCTAATAAAAATTATTTTTAAAATAGCTTCAAAATAAGTAAAAACTAAAAATCCATTATCTTTACAAACTTATAGGCAGGTAAGCATGTGTACACACACACACATTTATCTTTCTAAATATTTTTATTTCCAGACTCAACTTTTGTAAGGAGAAAAGAGAAGAAAGGGAGTTCTGAAAAATATACCCTAGTATTTGATCATATATTTCATAAAATTCATCTCTATAAAATGCCTAGAGCTGACAGTATATGTAGTTTTAAATACTAAATTCCCCATGGAGTTCGTAAGATTTTAACAAAATCATCATCATTTACTATCCCTAAACTTAGACCTTCATAGTAATCTTCAAATTCACCATATGACACTTCATCAGACTTGCTGCAGGCATTTTTTAATGTTTCTAGAAAAGATGATTTGATTTCTTCTTCTGTGGAATGACCTGTAAAATTGTATGTAAAACTTGAATAAAATGTTGAGTGGTGATAAATGAATACTTATTCATCTTAGGAAATCCTTTCAGCATTTTAAATTCTCATATCAAACTTTCAATTTATTTACACATGAACTGGAATTAGCTCCTCATAATTGGCCCCCCCCACCACCTCTCTCACATTCTTCTCTTCTCAGGATTTCAGCAAAGAACACTGGAGAAAAAGATCACTGACTTTTTAATAAGAAAAGAGGAATTCAAAGATGAAAAGGCACCAATGGTGGTCAGGTGATATTCAAAAGAGAATAAACAGAGATACAGATAAGAATAAGGTAAGAAAAGGGTTAAAAATCTATGTGATCTTCTCTGAAACATTTTAAAATCAGGTTGCATTTTGGTTTTAGTTTAGTTTGGTTTTGGTTTGGTTTGGGTTGGTTTGCTTTGGTGTGGTTTTTGAGACAGGATCTCTCCACATAGTTCAGGCTGTCTTTAAACTCTCGGGGATCCCCCTGACTCAACCTCCCCAACACTGGGATTGCAGGCATGCACAACCACACCTGGTTCAAGTTGCCTTTTGAAGAACAGATGTAAATGCGAATACCACCCTAATTATTTGTCTAACAAAGTGGACAACTTAGGGTAAGAGCTGGATCTTCCTAACAAACCTGAGGTTCATTAATAGACATAGTTAATAAAACACTGGAAAGTGCCTTTCATACTAAAGAAATGGCCTCGTAAAAACATACATAAGAAATAGAGAACAAAATGATAGTTTTATTTAAAAAACTAGCTGAATGAAAGAAGACTAGATATTATGCAATAATATTATGCAATAAAGACGAAAATATGCAACAATAAAATAAACTTGTGATTCACTTAGTGAAGTCTAAAAACTAATCAAATTCTAATCTACATGAAAACAAATTTTGGCAAGAGAAATTTCTCTTCTGTACATTTGGACATACATGTTTTAACAATTTTCTTTTTAAAAAATTCTTAATTAAATTTAAACTTTATAACACCTTAAAATCTCCTCTCTAGAAATAGCTACCTTTCAAAACTATAACTAAATTTTTCAATCACTATAGACACTAATATTTCTAACACCATTTCATAAAATATATTTGAGTATCATATTTCTATTAAACTTTAAAATACCTTTTATCTAATAAATTATCTAAGTAAAAAATAGAATATTTCCTATATTTTAAATTAGATGTAGTTTAAGAGCCTTAATTTAATATTCACTGTAAATTAGAAACAAGTTTTATCCCAAAGATGGGAAAGTGAATAAATCATAATTTATAATGACAGTAGAGTTTTTCTTTTTAAAAAATAACAAATTTTTCTGTCTTTAAGTGTTTAGCTTGCTAGCTAGTACTCCTTAATATGACTGCAAAGACAAAGTATGAAACTCTTTAAAATGACAAAGGCTTACCGAGCAAACACAAAAGCAAAACCCTCCTGCATCCACAATTCAGTGACATAATAAAACTGAAGTTATTTATGTTACCTATTGAAGATAGCTTAAATGGTTTAAAAAGATCAAAAGAAAAATATACACAACGTTGAAACTATCTACTTTTGTAAGGAGTAAACTATTCTTATATAAGACAAAAATTTAGTATGACTCAAGACAGAACAAGAAAGGTCACGTATTTAAAGGGTAACAAATATTTTAACAACTCTTAAGTAACAGTAGAACTTGTTTTATCCAAATTGTTCATTTAGTCATTGATAAAAAATACAACTGTTTTGACCTAAAAGGATTAGAAATTTAGAAGCCAATAATGGTTAACTTTAATCTTCAAAAACAATTCTATTTTAACTTCCCAAATAAAAGCACTGAATAAGTCACATATGAGTTAAGAACAAGAAACTGAAGTAATTACAGGGCATCTTCCTTACTATTAAATTAAAATTAACATAATAGTACTCTACATTAATAGCATATAACTAAAATGATAAGTTAGAAACTATTCAAAAAAGATGGTCCATAAATACTCATAAAATGGACAAATGCTCAATAAATATATGAAAATGTTTTACCTCCCTAGTAACCAGAGAAATACAAATAAATTGTTTTTTTCATCTGTGAGATTGACAAAAGGTTAAATCTTTGGCAAATTTATGAAGGAAAAAATTCTGCTACTAAGAGCAGCACAGTCTAATATGGCCATCTTACACTATAATTTGGAAATGTCCATTAAAACTTGAAATATAAATATCCCAGTAATTCTAGGAATTGACCTCTCTCCTGATAAACAGAAGAAAAGGAACGTAAGGAGTCACAAATAAGCATATATATTGCTTCACTGGTGTACATCAATGATTAGAAATTAAAAGTCCAGCAATAGGGGCTGGGGATTTAGCTCAGCGGCAAAAGCGCCTGCCTGGCAAGCGCAAGGTTGTGAGTTCGGTTCCCGGTACCGGAGAAAAACCAAAAAAAAAAAAAAAAAAAAAAAGTCCAGCAATAGAGAATGACTATGTAAACTGCAGTCCACTGATTTGTGAAAGTAATAATATGCAATAAACAAAACTAAGGTGACTCAAGGATGGTTAAACATAGAAATACTTCCAAAACACAGTGTGGAGTGTAAAAAGCCAATATGTAACAATATGTTAAATATGTCTTTCATGTCCAAAAATACTCCAAAAAGTATTAGATGATTACAGCATGTATACAGCTATGAAAAAGCTCATAGAATAAGGACCAAAATATACTCAGTTCGTGAACACTTTTGTTTGGAAACAATTCGTTTCACAAACAGAAGTACTTGGCAAAACTGTTTTTGTTTGCCAACTCCGCATGGGGTGACCGCAGCCATCTGTTCCAGAATCACGGGGAAAATTAAGTTCGTGAACCAGGGTACTATACAATATATATATTAAATGATAGTAATATTTACTTCTCTACAGAGAAATGTAATGAAAAGTAGGGGGTTATTGTGGCCAAATGCTTTCTTTGCAACAAGAATGCATCTATAAACTAATTATTTAAAAGCAAGGTCAGAAGAAATATAATAGGAAAGAAATATCTAGAATTACTTTGGAAATTTACTGTACCCCAAAATTTTGATAGAAATACATATGGCCATTGTATGTATAAATCCATCCCCAAAGAAAGACACTCCCTCACCCAGTCATAAGTCCTCAAGTGTGGATAACTACATACGCAGATACAGTTAAATCGATGCTGAGAACCGGTACATGCAATCACCTATTCTCTAAATCTCTTCTGTTCTTTTAACAAATTCTGCCACTCCCCACTCTTTCTAAGTCAGATGTAGAGTTTTATCCCAATTATAAATATTGAGGAAACAAGCAAGTACAGGCAACAGGCCTGAGAATTTTTCAGTGAAGACAAGCAAATTGTTCCCAAGTTTCTAGGTCAAACAAAGTATTTCCTACCTTACTGTTCTCAGTTTATGCTTTAAATGCATGTGTTTAAAGATTATACTTTTATTAACTAACACTTAGAAATCTAATGCATTTTCACTTATAATAGGTACCTGAAATAACTTGAGGATGCTTCTTTGCACAATAGCATTTTCTTATGTCTATAATAGGCACCATCCCACTTTTGCTGAAATCTAGTTTCGTAAAGGCCTAAAGAGAGAAATGTTATTTGTATATGAAATCATTACACATGAGAACCTAACTTTCTGTTTTGCAGTAGGTTGTTTCCCAGCTACATCCAAGGCACTCGCTTATGAAAGAAGCTTAACCTTAGAAGGGAACCTAACCTCTGGTGCCCCGGAGAGCTGTATAAAGGACGTCTCTGGTAACTTGTAGCTTCAGGATTCACAAAACAGGTAAATGACCAAAACAAATGGCCAAAAGGACATTTTAACTCAAATGTGAGCTTGCACATATTTCATCAGTAAACTCAATGAAAAATTAAATACTTTTAGAATGAGTGTTGTTACTCTATTTCTTAAAATTTAACAGTGCTTTTAGAAATACTAATCCAGCGCAACTCTCAGAATCATAAAACATCATAAAATATTTCACTGTAAAAGTGCTGAAGTCTACAGAAACACACAAGCGACCTAAAGCAAGACTGGAAGAAGAGTGGCAGCAGAGTGGAAAACAGAATCAAGTTTGTTTATTGACAATATTGAGCTTGAAAAGAACCTCACGCTTGTTGTAGAATGAAAACTATCTCAGAATGTGACTGCCCTGGCAAACAGGGTCATTTAAAGGGTAACTGAGTTAAAGTGACCCTAATCCAATATATGACTAATGCTCTTATGAAAAGGTAGGACACAAACAGCATAGACAGACAACAGTGTGAAACCGGTGAAAATGCACAGCCATCTTCAGACCAAAGAGAGACACCTCAAAGCAGACCAAACTGCTGACCCTTCTGGGACCTCCAGGCTCCAAACTGAAAGGAGGTCAGCTTCTGTTGTTTTGCTGACATGGTCTGTGGTATTTTGCTATGGCAGCTCTAGCAAAGGAAGAGAGTTCTACAATTCCTTCCATCTCTCCCTCCTTTACTCCATCCCTTTACCTTCCTTCCTTCTTTCCTTCCACTCTTTATTTTCTTTTACTAGGAACTGAACCCAGGGCCTTTGCACTGAACTACATCCCCAGCCCTTCTTTTATTATTATTTCTTTTGAGACAGAGTCTCACTAAGTGGCTATGTTTCCTAGTCTGGGCTGAAACTTGGAATCCTCCTGCCTCAGCCTCCCAAGGGGCTGAGATTCAGGCAGGCACCACCACACCTAGCTGTCTTCCCCCCACAGACTTTATTCCCAGGACCAAGACACCTGAACAACAACAAAACAATCTGATTTCTACTCCAGATATTCAAACTATCACCAGTACACATAAAATACAAGTAAGTATACATTCATAAATACTATGTAGTGAATTTATTTAAGGTTTTTATTGTGTCTTTTGGTGAACAAAGATACTTTAATTTTTTTCTGTTGGACACTTGTATTGGACATAATTATACCACTGTTGACCGAATACTTCGTTTTACTACTAGATGCATATATATTTTATATGAGGTCCATACACAAGAGAAGAACACTGTATTGCTCAAAGTTTACTCTAAAAAATGGCCACCAGAACCCAAGTAAAAATGTAGTTTTCTATAAAAATCAGGGCCCCTGTTTTAATTCCCATTTATCATGATTATTGTGATCTTCATTTTAACGTTCAACATGCACATTGTAAAAGCCAGAGGAATATTTTTAACCATCATTTAAATTAACATTTTGAACATTCACACCAGGTCAGTCATAATACTAAGAATTTTATCTCATTCAATCCTTACATCAACTCTAGGGGATAGGAAACTCAGGACTGAGGCTATTTCATTACATTTATAAAGCTACTCACTTAGGAATAAAATTTGATTTCAAATATTATTTCTCTTTTATGTATTTTTCTAAAATATATGCATAAGTTATTTTCTTTTTTTCCAAATAAGTTTATATGCATATGCACATTACCTGCATTACAGGTAAAATAATAAAACACATTTTAAATGGTAATTTACTGAAGTTCTTAATGAACCTAACTACCAATTAAAAGTAAGAATTTAAAAGATTACTTAACAGTTACCTTTCGAACAAATGATTTCCTATATTCATTCATTTCACCAAGAACGGCGCGTCTGAATTCTCCATAATCAACTCTGTCCATTCCAGCGCCACTGCCATTAAGAATCGCCCACAGAGACTCAAAATCCTAGAAGTATGCAGCATTCTTTATTACATCTTTAAGTCATATATGGCCACAAGAAAATCTTACTCATGTAGGACTAGATACAGTGGCTCACTAACAAAAATGTTTTTTAAAAAACTACAATAAATCAAATCAAAGCCCAGTGAAAATCAGTTAAGGGGACTCAGAGGTGAACAGTTCTGTAATCAGTTACATACACTCCCCGAGCTGAATGTGAAATTCGCATACTGCAAACACGTTCTAATAAACTTTGAAAAAAGAACCAGTTCGTAGCAGCAATACCCTAAAACATTTTTAAAGTTATTTTTCTACTGATTGACAAATATTTATATATATTTACAGGATAATGTGGTGTCTGAAAACATGTACATTGTGGAATGATGAAATCAGACTAATTAACATAACCACCACCTCAAATATTTATCATTTCTTCGTGGTGAGAAAATTTAACATCCTTTTTTAGCTATTTTGAATATACAACACAATAATACTAACTATAGTCATTGTGTTGTACAATAATATAGATCATTACATCATAGAACTTAGCCCTCCTGTCTGATGAAATTTTGTACCATTTTACCAATGTCCCCCTCCACATCACTACCCCAAGCCCCACCCCTCACCCCTACCTCTGCAACCCAGCTGTGCTCCGATAATAAATTTATCCCTTTAAGTTCAATTCCTGCACACTAAAAAAAACTGGTTACCACGTAATTTTGAATATTTCATTAAATGTATTATATCTGCATCAATTCAAAAGCCTTTCAGATTCTGAAATATTTCCAACAGTATTGTGACCACTAATTTATTTCTGCTAGTCTTCATGATTGAAAGTATAGAAGATTTGAATACTCTAATATATTCTATAATTTACACTAAAAAGTTTAATTTTGAGTTAAGCACTTATGTCAGTTCGTTCACTTTGCTATTACTGTATACTTCCTTAGCAAATGTATTAGACCATAGAATATTCTATTCAGAGCATTCTTACAACAAAGAAATTACAGCTTGAATTCTTAAACTCAATGAATACATTTTCAATGCTTCAATCAAGTAGTGAGCTTTAAATGAGAATGTAAATAAAACACCTAGAAAGGTGCTTGGCAAATAAGTACTCAACAAATATTCTCTTGCATCTCCTCCTAAGTTTTTCAAATAAAATTTCAATTATAAGAACTATATTTCAAGAATGTTCTGTCTCTCAATTCCCTGTACAGCACAGACGTGCAGTTAAATTGAAAATGAGCTTGACCTTTAAAACCGTAATACGGACAGAAGATAGATTTGCTCACCCAACTCAAGGGATACTAGAATTAAAAGAAACGTTTTTTAAGTTTAAAAGAAGTTACTTTTAAAAATTAAGTAATTTTATAAAAGTAGCAACAAATTTATATAACTCCAGATATGGTACAAAGTAAAAAATATTCAGTTAAAAAAAGCTAGGGTAAATTCATTGATAGTACTTCTATACAAATCAGGCTTTTTGGAACACATATAAATTTTTTATTTCAAATCAGGGAGAATGACTATGCGCTCTCACAAACATTTTCTAGTTCCAGTTAGACCCGGGTTGGTGATTCTTAATGTCTTATTCTCCCGCTCTTTGTGGTGTTTACCCGAGCATGAGCAATCTTCAGTGATAAATACCAGGAAACAAAACACAAATATTTCTTAAAATGTATGAGGAAGGGGGAAGCTTTTCCATATCCTTATAATACATGATATCACTGTAGGGGAAGTGTCACACAGTTATTGTAATTTTATTCATAAACCTAGTTATAAACATTCAGCAAACCCCCAAAAGGAGGTACTGCGTTAATGCAGGGCAGGTGCAATTGAGGCCACTTTACCTGGGCTCTAGATTTCTATTAGTTATTGATTATTTTTCTGTAGTTGCCAATAAAGACACCAAGGTTTTCAAGTGTCCTATTGCTGCTATTTTTTTTACCCATGAAAGAACAAGGCGAAGGTTCCTAGTGTGAGCCCTAAGTTTAAGTGTCATGAAAGCCCAAGGACAGATGTTTCACAAAAGTGGTAAGCAATATTATCCTGGCACAGGACTTTACAGTTGCTAGGACACGTCCCCAGGTAACTTTCTTTCTTGAGCTGCCGAGCAACTCTGACTACTATCTCAGAATTGCTCAAGGAGAGCCTGTAGTCAGAAAAGTTAAAGGACCTGTCTAAGACCCCACAGTTAAAATAACGAAGTTAGAACTTGAACCTAAATCTCACAAATATAATTTTTAATGTTCCACCCACAAAATATATTATACGTTGTAGCAAGACCATTTTAAGTAAAAGAGAATAATGTAAAAGAAGTCTTTATTTGAAATCCTTGATATGAACCAAATTCATGTTCTTTTTTTTTTTTTTTTTTTGTCTTTTTTTGGAGACAGGGTCTCGCTATGCAGTTCAGGCTGGACTTGAGCTCACTTTGTAGCCCAGGCTGGTCTCAAAGTCACAACAATCCTCCTGCCTCGGCCTCCTGACTGCTGGGATTACAGGCGTGCACCACCATGCCTGGCTCATGTTCTTTTAGAATACAATCCAAGCTTCTTAGCCTGACACACAAGACTTTAATATAGCAGGCTTATTTCCCACCATGCTGTTTTTCTTCCTTCCACACATGTATCCATTCAGACCAATGCACTATTTATTCTGCACTTGCCATGTGCCAGGCTCTATTCCAAGGGCTGGAGGAAAAGCAGAAAACCAGAAGTACCCTGGTCCCTCTCTGATGGGACTTATATTTTACTGGCAGGCAGAGCCAATAAACATGATGCGGCATGAAGAAAATAAAATGTGAAATTGATATAGAAAGGCCTGGAGAGCGACTGCAGTGCTCTCTTACAGAGAGGTGTGAGAGGAATAGAGAGAAAGTTGTGATCTGAAAGAGAAAGTCTAGCATGTAAAGATCTAATAGGAGATTATTCACAGCAGAGGGAACAGTACATGTGAAGAGGAACATTTGCAAGGTGGGAAATAGGCCACACTCCCTATGCCTTCATGTGCTTCTCCTTTGCATAAAATACCAATGGTCGATGGTAATTCCTCCCATCCTTTGAAACGCAGCCTGAACGTGTCCTCCTCTGGGTACCTTTCTATGACCTTCCCTCTCCTTCCCCATAACCTAACTTGGAATGAGGTACCATCCCATGTGTTCCCAAAACATTCTCTACTTAACACATATATTATTTTATAATCAGTTTTTCTAAACTATAAGATCATGAGAGTAGTGTGCATATTCCCAGAACTTGGTACAATGGCTGGATATTAAATTCTTAATAAATATATGATAAATTTGAGTTGTTTGTAGGAAAATGGCTGCACCTTGAGTCCATAATACTAAGTGAAATAAATCAGACACAGACGGATAAACACTGATGGAGACCACTATGAAGCAGACCTGAGCAGGACTTAAATTAACCAACTGGCTTTTCATGTTCGCTTGTGAATCTGTCCAAAGCCTGGTCTCCTTGTCTGGAAATGGCAGACTCATAGTAAGTGAATCTCTGAGTCACTAATCCCTACTAAAATCTGTAGTGGTGGACGAAGCCAGAAAGCCTCAAAGGATGACACAAGATCACAGCCAAGGACACCTGGATCTGATCTCAACTAGATAAAGAAAGACTATAGCCTCAGGCATCTCACTCCTGGGTAGATTAACTTAGTACCTTATTTGTAGAAGTCCTTGAGTGGTTCTGCCCTCCTTGAGTACTCCCCTCCCTTCTTCTGATAACCAAATAAATATGGGCCACCCAGAGGAGGTCTTGGTTTTAGCTCTAAGAGAATCCTGAATTCTGTGAGAGGGCTTTGATTCTCCTGGAGCCCTGAAATCATTCCATTTGCCTCTTTTTATTTAGCATTCACCGTACACTCATTCAGGAGATTGCAGACCTGGCCAACTCGAAATAACAAAGGGAGATTATTAACTCAATAAAACATCACATAGTTTCTTTTATATGAGAAACCCAACATACAAATAATTTAAAGAGCAAAGTGAAAAGAAGATGACAGTAACAGAGAGCTGAACTTTGTGGAAATGGGAACGGGATCTTGGCAGGAGGAAAGGGGAAGGGAAAGTAAAGAAGATTGAGATCCATACTCCATAGTGAATACCTGGATACCTCCAAGTATCCATACTCCACGGTGAATACCTTCACTATATATCACAAAAATATACTAATAAAAATTTAAATAAAACTTTTTAAAAACTAAATAAATATATGAAAGAGAAGTGAACGTTGAGATGTTTAAAATCAAGAAGACCTACAGCCTGGTAACTTACCAGGTAGCAGGTCATACATAAGACAAATCCACTGCTAAAACTTCAGTAGAAAATTGAATAAGGCCACAAAAGAGTAACACGTTATTCACCGCAGAACATTTTCTGTGCTACATACCTTTTCAGGTACTTCTAAGTGAAATACTTTTAAAGCTTGCTTAAAATCTGCCTTATTTAAAAGTCCATGTCCTTCCTTGTCCAACTGCTGGAAGTATTTTCCCAATCCAGTCAAAATTCGAACACCTCTTTTCTGCAGTTTTTCTTTTAGCGCATCTGCTTAACAAAAAGAGAGATGGAAACTAATTCTCCCTAGACACAGAGGCATCAAACTGAAATCGTCTCTCCTATAAGAAAATGAAAACGATGTGATGGAAATAAGGGGTGTGAATATTCAACCAAATCCCATGTGCATCTCACAGAAGACCTTGGAAATTGGATTTTTTTAATAGCGGGTTATACAGTATATTCAACCCCATGTAAATATACCAGAACTATAGCACCACCGTGTGGTGAAAGAGTTACATTTCAAATACTACAAAATAATGTTTCTCTTAGCAAGAAAATAACCTAAATGTTCCAAATAAAATCTTAGTTGTATTGTTTAGACATCTATATTTTAACCACACCACATTTTTAATCTCTTGCCTCTTTATTTATTTACTGAATTGCAAAATGAAACTACGATTTCAAAAAGTTTAAAATAGGGCTGGGGATTTAGCTCAGCGGCACAGCGCCTGCCTGGCAAGGTCAAGGTCATGAGTTCAATTCCCGGTACCGGAAAAAAAAAAAAAGAAAAAAAAAAGTTTAAAATAGTCTAAAATCCTCAAATTACAATTACAAACTAACAATTACAATTATATGTAATTGGAATATAATACTACACTTACATACTTAGCGTAACCTTTCCTTCCATAAATGCATGAGAGCTTATATGCCCTCTTGTAGTTCTGTTATTTCACTTCATGTAGTTCACACTTTATTTAAGAAAATAAATTCTAAAGCAGGTACTAGACTAAATACATTGAAGAACAAGCATCACCAGATTCAATAGTGATGAGAACTGTATTTACCATGATAATACAGAAAAGACCACTAAAAATGACATCAAGAATATCTGAGTTCAAGTATCAGTCACAACCATCATATCTGCTTCTAGTCTCTCCTAGTGAAATACATTGAGCTTGCTTATAATCTTTACATTTAAGCAAATCTCTTATATTTATCTTTGAAGAGTCATCAAAACCCATAAAGTATATATCATTTTGTGACTGTTTAATATCTTCATCTCTTCTACACTATGAGACCTAACAAGGGAATTGCCCCTTGCTGCCTAGTACACTATATACAGCAGTGGCTATAAGATTTTACTCTAAAATCAAAATTTGAAAAACATTGTAGTCTCCAGCATCTACATATATTTTATTTATAATCTTCATTTTAGAGATGAAGAAGCACACAGGATTCTCACAAAGTCATATGTCTGATGAGTAACTGAGTCCAAACATGAACTACAGCCCTCCCAGTCTAGCACTTTTTCCTTTACACTAGACCATCACAAATCTCTGGGTCATCATCCAGTGCATAAGACAACTACATTACAAAAATCAACTTTACATTTTACTTAGTTTATAAGCAAAGCCCCTGTTATCTAGTATTTTCTAAAATTCTTCAGTTCATAGTTCATATAATACTATTCAGTTAGGACCATTAATGTAGGTGAAACCCTAACGTATTTATAAGAAATATATAAATATATCAACTCTAAAAACCTAACAAAAAATAAAAACCAAGGGCTATAAAACTAAGAAGTACCTTGAAAATATTGTTTTTAATGAATTACAATGAAAATAGTTGAAAATGAGCTCTTGACAGTAGCGAAAACACATACCTTGAATGGCCTTGAAGACCAGCCTATCGTTGGCTTCTTGAATAATTATATCTTCCTCACATGCCATGGATGTAGTTCTGCAATTAACATGTCCACATTGATTTTTTTAAAGTATGTATATATATATACATATGATTGTAAAGTAGAATATATATACATATAGACAATATATTGCTGAATATATACATACACTATATATATATATTCTACTTTATAATCTTCAATATAGAAGCTCTAACTGTTCTCTGCTCCAAACCCAAAGAAATACTCAGAGTTGGAAAAATCAATCAAGTCCCAATTGTGCTTGCCACTTTGATTCCAGGAGAAGCTGTTTTAAAATCCTTAAAACTTTGTAAAAGCTGTGAATGTGTTCATTTTTATAGCTGCTTCAAAGTTCTTTAAAATATTTAATTAAAACAACTAGATTTAAAAGCAGTTTTACTTTGTAAACTATAAAATTTAAAGTGTTGTTTTAAACCCCACCCCATGCATTCCTCTTGAGAAATGCAGTAAATAATAACCAAACACTGATTTGCTTACAGCTAATTTCTGGGACAGATCCCCTAGTGCACATATAGAACTAAGTTTTGTTGTATTTACTATCAAGAAACATTCAAGAAGAGTACGCATGGGCTGGGGATGTAGCTCAGCATAGAGTGCTTGCCTAGCATAAACAAGGCCCTGAGTTCAATCCCCAGTGCCGTAAAAAACAAATTTGATTTAAAAGAAAAGTATGCATGTAGCCATGCATGGTATACTACATGCCTGTAATCCCAGCATTTGAGAGGCTGAGGCAGGAGCATCACTGAAAGTTCGAGGTCAGCCTGGGCTACACAGTGAATTCAAAATCAGCCTGAACTACATAGCGAGACCCT